GCAGGTCCCGGAGCCGCCAGGCTGGGTTGGGGGGGTCACTTACCTGGCTGGCAGGCTGTCTCACAGAGGATGGGGCACATGTAGCAGAACTGGCAATACTGGGGGGGAGGGGAGAGGGAAGAGAAGTTAATTTACCATCAGGGCACTGCTGCGGGGAAGCTCGCAGCACTGGGATCTCCACCTGGGGCACTGCTGGGAGGAAGCTCATGGCACAGGAGGCACTGCCACAGGGAAGCTCGCAGGCCGGGGATCTGCTGCTGCAGGGAGGATCCCCATGGCGGGGGCACTGCTGTGGGGAAGCTCGCAGCGCCAGGGCACTGCTGTGGGGAAGGGCCCCAGCTGGGGGCATTGTCCTGGGGTAGCTCACATCACCAGGGGCACTGCTGCAGGAAGATTGCAGAGCCAGGATCCCCAGCCAGGGACACTGCCACAGGAAGCTCACAGCACACAGGGCACTGCCACGGGGAAACTCAGCGTTGGGGGCACTACTGTGGGGAGCTCACAGCACCAGGATCCCCAGCCAGGGGCAATGCAGCAGGGAAGCTTGCAACACCAGGAGCCCTAGCCAGGGACACTGTGGAGGGGAAGCTCACAGCTCTGAGATCCCTAGCCAGGGGCACTATGGCGGGGAAGCTCACAGCACTGAGATCCCTGGCCAGGGGCACTATGGCGGGGAAGCTCACAGCACTGAGATCCCTGGCCAGGGGCACTATGGCGGGGAAGCTCACAGCACTGAGATCCCTGGCCAGGGGCACTATGGCGGGGAAGCTCACAGCACTGAGATCCCTGGCCAGGGGCACTATGGCGGGGAAGCTCACAGCACTGAGATCCCTGGCCAGGGGCACTATGGCGGGGAAGCTCACAGCACTGAGATCCCTGGCCAGGGGCACTATGGCGGGGAAGCTCACAGCACTGAGATCCCTGGCCAGGGGCACTATGGCGGGGAAGCTCACAGCACTGAGATCCCTGGCCAGGGGCACTATGGCGGGGAAGCTCACAGCACTGAGATCCCTGGCCAGGGGCACTATGGCGGGGAAGCTCACAGCACTGAGATCCCTGGCCAGGGGCACTATGGCGGGGAAGCTCACAGCACTGAGATCCCTGGCCAGGGGCACTATGGCGGGGAAGCTCACAGCACTGAGATCCCTGGCCAGGGGCACTATGGCGGGGAAGCTCACAGCACTGAGATCCCTGGCCAGGGGCACTATGGCGGGGAAGCTCACAGCACTGAGATCCCTGGCCAGGGGCACTATGGCGGGGAAGCTCACAGCACTGAGATCCCTGGCCAGGGGCACTATGGCGGGGAAGCTCACAGCACTGAGATCCCTGGCCAGGGGCACTATGGCGGGGAAGCTCACAGCACTGAGATCCCTGGCCAGGGGCACTATGGCGGGGAAGCTCACAGCACTGAGATCCCTGGCCAGGGGCACTATGGCGGGGAAGCTCACAGCACTGAGATCCCTGGCCAGGGGCACTATGGCGGGGAAGCTCACAGCACTGAGATCCCTGGCCAGGGGCACTATGGCGGGGAAGCTCACAGCACTGAGATCCCTGGCCAGGGGCACTATGGCGGGGAAGCTCACAGCACTGAGATCCCTGGCCAGGGGCACTATGGCGGGGAAGCTCACAGCACTGAGATCCCTGGCCAGGGGCACTATGGCGGGGAAGCTCACAGCACTGAGATCCCTGGCCAGGGGCACTATGGCGGGGAAGCTCACAGCACTGAGATCCCTGGCCAGGGGCACTATGGCGGGGAAGCTCACAGCACTGAGATCCCTGGCCAGGGGCACTATGGCGGGGAAGCTCACAGCACTGAGATCCCTGGCCAGGGGCACTATGGCGGGGAAGCTCACAGCACTGAGATCCCTGGCCAGGGGCACTATGGCGGGGAAGCTCACAGCACTGAGATCCCTGGCCAGGGGCACTATGGCGGGGAAGCTCACAGCACTGAGATCCCTGGCCAGGGGCACTATGGCGGGGAAGCTCACAGCACTGAGATCCCTGGCCAGGGGCACTATGGCGGGGAAGCTCACAGCACTGAGATCCCTGGCCAGGGGCACTATGGCGGGGAAGCTCACAGCACTGAGATCCCTGGCCAGGGGCACTATGGCGGGGAAGCTCACAGCACTGAGATCCCTGGCCAGGGGCACTATGGCGGGGAAGCTCACAGCACTGAGATCCCTGGCCAGGGGCACTATGGCGGGGAAGCTCACAGCACTGAGATCCCTGGCCAGGGGCACTATGGCGGGGAAGCTCACAGCACTGAGATCCCTGGCCAGGGGCACTATGGCGGGGAAGCTCACAGCACTGAGATCCCTGGCCAGGGGCACTATGGCGGGGAAGCTCACAGCACTGAGATCCCTGGCCAGGGGCACTATGGCGGGGAAGCTCACAGCACTGAGATCCCTGGCCAGGGGCACTATGGCGGGGAAGCTCACAGCACTGAGATCCCTGGCCAGGGGCACTATGGCGGGGAAGCTCACAGCACTGAGATCCCTAGCCAGGGGCACTGTGGGGGGGAAGCTCACAGCACTGGCATCCCCAGCCAGGGGCACTGTGGCAGGGAAGCTCATGGGACCAGGGCACTGCCGGGGAAGCTCGCAGCCCCTACCTGGCAGGCGCGGCAGTGCTGGCTCCTGTCACTGTCCTGGCAGGGGCACTTCTCACACTCCCCGCAGTGCTGCAATGAACCGTAGGGGGCGTTAGTAGGGCAGGAACCACAGACCAGCCTCCCCCCTCCCCAAGCCATGAAGCGACCCCGGTGTCCCGGTTCCCAGGGCCTCCTGCCACGCAGACCCGAGGGGGGTTGGGGTTACCTTGCAGAAGGCGGCG